CTGAGTGCGGTGCAGGCGCAACACCGAGGGTTGCGATCCCGTTGCCGGTCCCCGGTACGGGCGCGACACCGAGTGTTGCAATCCCTTTACTGGTCAGTAAAAAAAAACAAAAAAAAAAAAAAAAAAAAAAAAGGTGTACAAGATGATAATGTTCACTGAAAAACTGGAGTTCTAGTAATATAATAAAATAAAAAATAAGTAGATATTGTGCTATTTCATTTATATTCATAAAAGTGGACACATACAGGTTGTTCAGAAAAAATTTTTTAAATTTCTCACTGGGACTGAAGATTACCCATTATGTCAGAATGGCTTCCATTAGAGCATATAAAATATTTTAAGATCATTTATTTCTAAATGTTTGGGAAAAGCTAAGTACTTTCTAGGAACTTTAAATAACTCAATGAAAGCATGCCAGATCTGGAAGGAGATCCGGAGATTACTGCAGAGTCCATCTAAATCACCTTCCAGATAAAGGAATTGGCCCAGAGAAAAAGGATTTGCCCACTGCCATTCATGGCAGTGATGGAATTCCAAGTCTTCTCTCATTCCAGGGCTACCCAGCCTTTATACACACTTCAGGAGTTGTTAAATAACGAATGTTATGTTTGAGGACTTTCTATATAAGAAATGTTAAATTAGAAGCAGTCTGCCTACTATGTAAAATTCATATTTGATTGCTAAGCTATCTGACAGGTTCATCTTGATAAGGCCTTAGAAAGCATTAAGACGTAGAGCGTTAGTTCATCATGGAACACAGTACCCTTGGCTTAATCCCCAACTTTACTTTACAGATAAGTGTTTCTCTGTGACATCTAAGGACCACCTACATTAGATTCATTTGGGGTGTTCCTTAGAAGTACAAATTCCCTGGCTCCATCCTAAGCTTATTACCCAATTTCACTCCTTTGAGGGTGAAGCACAGAAATCTGTATTTTTTTTTTTTAAACAAGCTTACCTGGTGATTCTCAGGCACATTAAAGTTTGAAAACTACCAGTCTAAAGGTTCTTTTGGTATCTAGACCTTTAGTGTTCAGTTATCTGTTGCAACTGGAATCTGCAGCAAATCATAAAAAAGAGTTTCTCTATTTGGAGTACATCAAAAACTAAGTCAAAAAGGCAAATGTAGCCTTTACTTCAACAAATGCTATTACCGTACTAGCATACCTTTTTTTTTTTTTTTAAATAAAATAAATAAAAACAAATATGAGCCATACAAATTCTTCATGTCACTGAGTGTAACATGTGGGGCTGGAATGGGTCCCAAAAAGGATAAAAAGATCTAAGCAAATAAGCACCAAACAAGCAACTCATTATCTTGCTTCAAAATGAATGCGTAAGGAAAGACTCTAGGAGTCATAAAGACAACTATTCCTTCATGAACATCACAGAGCTCTTCATGGGCCAAGATATGAATATCCTGGGTCTTTAAGGATAGATTTTTCACTGTAGATTATCATGTTGCATTTATGTAGTGCTAAAGGTACTTTACAAGCCTTTTATAACACGTGCCAATTTTATCTTACATTACAGAATTACTTTTCTAAAGGAAATTCACTTTCTAAGTACTTTTCTAGAGTTGAGTTTTTTCTTCACCATATCTCAAAATGGTAGTTACTACAGTGTAAGCAGTCTGTGAGAAGTTAATAGATATTTTATGCCACTTGGACTATACAAAACTACTGCAAAATGAGAAACAGCTTAAAATTTATATTACATAAGCTTGAAGTTCAAGTTTTTAAGGTATTTTATGACCTTAATACTATTTCTTTATATACCCCTAAAAAGAGTCATCCAAGAAATATAAACCAGTAGATGCTTAAGAACACATAACAAAAAAGAAAAGTACACAGCAATGTAAACAACTCCTAAAACTTGATCCAGCTGACCCATTTAAGTTTCAATGTAAACCTAGAAATCATAGAATAATATTTTATTTAGTGTAATTCATACAAGTACAAATCTTAGTAACTAATAACAAATCCTAAAAATAATAATTAAAATATAAAAATACACAGATAAATAGATAGTGCTCAGCTTCTTTAAAAACCAAGTAAATTCTTACTTCAATCCTAAACCAGTCTGTAGGCCTGATACTGTTGTAAAAGAATTTATCCTCAGATAACAGGGCAGCATAGTTTATGACAACAATCTACCTAAAAATTCATTAAAGTCTTTTCTCTTAGAGTGACATGCATTATCAGCAGAGATTAATCTGATGAGTCTTTAGGTGAGTTCCATTTTTAAAAATGCAATAACAGAGGGCTTTGTTGTCATCTGATGAAAATCAATTAGAGGAGGTAAGGCCACAAGGAAAACTAACATCACTCATCACCCACCCCCGGCAGCTGAAATGATTTGTCTTCCAAGCTTGGATGATCAGGAGCTATAGTCATATTGCAGGGAAATTAATTTAGTTTCTATATTCTGAACTCACTTTCCTTGTTCTGGAGGACCGAAACACAAATTACTTTTAATCAAGGTTGATATGTTATTAATACCAAGGAGAATCTTTGAAGAATCATTTTTTTTAAATCGACTTTAGTATTTTTCACCTGTGCTTGGGGTATAAATATAGGAAGGTTATGTATATCATCCTTACTTTCCAGATTCTTTGTCCACCACAAGGCACTGTACTAAATGGCGAAGACAATAGATTCCACCAAACACAGCACACATCCTAGGAGGAGAATAGGAAAATGAGAATTAGAATACCTGAGTTGAAAATTAGGGTAACAATACATGGAAATTTTTTTTAAAAAGTGGCTCTCACAGAAGTACAGAGTAGAATAATTGTTACCAGGGGCTGGGAGGGGAGAGGGTGAGAGGGAGGGGAAGTGGTGGACTGATGGGTACAAAGCTATGCTATCTACCCTAAGTGAATCACTGTACATGTATTGAATATACAAATATGCATGTATTGAAACAACACACTGTACCCCACAAAAATGTACAAATATTTAAAAAAAAGGAAATAATTAGGGTAAGAGTATTTTAAGTATCTTACATTTAATAACTGGTGTTACAGAAAATGTGTTTTGATACTTTATTACTTTCTCTATCATAGTATTAAGAAGCTCTCAGAGGTAAGATTAGCAATATCATGACACGGCAGAGGTACTAGTGTTAATAATACCATACTGAAGCCTAGAATTGTGACCAAGCCAAAAGTGTCCCTAAGCAAGGGTCGGATATCCCCCCAAAATCAGCTCCTGCCTACCTAAGGTACACAGACCATAAGTAGCCTCAAGAGGTAATGTATGAGACACCAAACAGAAATCCCCATAGAGAAGTGTTAAGGAGGAACCAAGCGGTGACGACTTTGGGAGATCCCTAGAGATTTTACTTCACCATAAATATAAGCAAAATCTCCAGGAGCCAAAACTAAACTGGGAGCTGAAAACTAGCATAGTAAGCATATGAGCTGATGCAGCAGAAGCGCTAAAGAGTGCCTACCTCAGTAATTTTAGCACTTGAGTTTTAATGCTCACACACGGAGAGGATTCTGAAAGGGCTACACCTCAGTTAAAAGGTGACCCAGGAAAGAGATCAACTTGCTAAAAGAGGGAGAGGAAAAAAAAAAACTTGTTTCATCTTAAGCCCTGGGTGAACGAAGATTGCACCTCTGTATTTATAACCAGTGGTCTGCTCTCGTATAGGTTGGGGGTTTAAAATTACATCACTACATGAACCAAGAAACCCTTAACCAATAAAACATGAAAAGTGGCTCTGGGTCAGTGGTACTCCAGAGACTTGGTGGAAGCAATTGCTAAAGCTTTCTGGTGGGATATGTCTTCAACCCAGGCCACATGAGATTGCCACAGATCGAGTCTCCTGATAGCTTATCTTCTACAATTATATAATACATGAATAAACATATCTTACCCTGAGTGAGAATTAGCATACACAACAAACAGCAGGATTAACCCCTCCCCCCCAAAAAAAACTTTATTCGGATAGAATTGTGAGATAGAGATTATAAAAAGAGTATGCTTAAAATACATAAATCAAAAATGTAAGAATAGAATAATGGAATGTCTAGAAAGGAGACTTTATTAGGATGAATAATTGCCACCCCCCACCAAGATGTCCACATTCTAATCCTCAGAAACTGTGAATATGTTACCTTACATGGCAAGAAGGACTCCACAGATGTGATTAAATTAATGTTCTCGAGATGGCTAGATTATCCTGGTGGATGCAAGGTAATCACAAGAATCCTTTTTAAAAAGTAGGCAGGAAGATCAAAGACAGAGAAAAAGATGTGGAAATGGGAGCAGAGGTCAGAGTGATGCCACTGCTGGAAGAAGGACACATGACAAGGAATGCAGGCAGTCTATAAACTGGAAAAGGAAAGGAACAGGTTCTCCCCTAGACCCCTGAGTAGGAACACAGCCGTGCCAACCCTTTAAACTTCTGACCTCCAGGACTGCAAGATAATTAGTGTTGTTTTAAGCTACTAAGTTTGTTTCGGCAGCAATAAGAGACTAATAGAAAGACCCAGACATACATGGAAATAATTATGACAGAAGTGGCATTACAAACTATGGGGGAAAAATAGACCATTGAAAAAAAATGTTTGGGTATAACAGATTATCCATACAGGGGAAATAAGTATATCCCTGTTTTATACCATATTCAAAATCAATTCCATGTAGAAGAAAGGCATAAATATAAAAAGCAAAACTTTTAGAAGGATAACATGAGGATATATTTATGAGCTCGGGGAAAGAAATTTCTTCAAAAAGATGCAAAAATCATATGTAAAAATTTTGAAAAAAAATGTAGCACTTTAAAATTATAAACATCTGGACAACAAAAGAAAGTGAAAAGACAAGCTACAGACTGGGAAAGAGATGTGCAGATATATTAGTAAGCGCTTAAAAATATCAGTTTGGATATCGATTTAGCAGTATCTAGTACAATTGAAGATGTATACTTCTATAGTGTAGCAATCCTCTTGTTAGGTATGTATCTTAGAAAAACTCTCATACATGTGTACAAGAAGATGTACAAAAAAACATTTGTTGCTGCACTGTTTTAAGGCAACATAGCATAGTGGTTAAGAGAAAGGATATTGGACTGCCTGGATTTATATGCCAACTACTCTACCTACAAGCTGTGTGACCTTGAACAAGATATTCAGCCTCTCTATCCTATTTTCCTCAACTGCAGAATAAGAATAATACCATTTATTCATATAGGGTTCATTGGTGAATTAAATGAATATTTATAAAGAAGTTATAAATATATATAACACCCAACTCAAATATCCATCAAGAGGAGATATGGTATATTCAAATGTATAGTAAATAATTTCACCCTATCCCAAAAGGTCTAGCCTTTGTCCTTGGCTTCTGGGAGGTGATCTCTAAGCCTTTGGAATGCCATGTCTGAAAGAAGTGTCTCTGTTCGCCTGGTAGAATTAGGTCACCAGCCAGTCTGACAATATGATTTCGGGTGACGGCTGGCCACACCAGATAGTCTTAGGGTAGGGGCTGGCCATGTCAGAAAGACCAACAATGTGATTTAGGGTGGGGGCTTTGGGTTACATGGTATATATCAGTCAACCTCCAGAGGGGCTGGAGACTGAGATCAGTCCCAAGGGCCATCAGTCATGCCTAAGTGATGGAGCTCCAATAAATCTCTGAACACTGAGGTTCACGTGAGTTTCCTTGGTTGGTCACAAATCGACATTTGGAGAGTAACACTGTTCTGACTCTATGGTGAGAAGACAACGGGAAACACCACATTTGGAACCCCCATGTGCTTTGTTTCAAGCACATCTTCCCTTGACTGTTTCAATCTATATCCATTCCCTGTAATAAACCATAACTGTTTCAATGAGTCCCGTGAGCCCTTCTAGCAACTTATCAAACCTGAGTCTGGTTTTGCAAAACTCCCTAACTTGCACTTGGTGTCAGAAATGTGGACAGTCTTATGGGGCCTACACCCTCTAACTGTATAATTGTCTAGCCTCTCACATCAGACAAGAGAATAAGCAATTTAAATGAATAAACTACAGCACCATCCGTCAACATGGATAAATGTCAAAAACATAACACCTGGGTTGAAGAATACCTTCAGAGTGATGATATTTATAAAAAGATTCAAAAACCTTATATGTAAAATAATACTATATATATATATAGTATACAAACATTTAAGAGAATTATAAACACCAAATTCAGGACAGTAGTTCCTCTGGGAAGGAAAAGAATAAAAATTATACCAGATATTTCAATTGCTCAGTTTCTTTAAAAAAAATACTTAAAGTAAATATATGGCAAAATATTAAGATTTGACAAAACTGAGTGAGTAGATGGATGTTCTTTATATTATTCTCTGTACTTTCTAAAATATTCTTAAATTATTTCATAATCTAAATAGTACAAAAATATGAATGAATGGTAGAGATCAGTGACAATCTCCAAGTATGGCATAACATTTCTATTGTTTTTCTAAATTTAATCACTTTAGTGGACATGATCAAGCTAGCTTTGATAGAGCATAGGTAATAATTCTTTCTGTTACAGAACACCACTGTTATAAGGAAATCAGCATTTTTTCCACTGAAAAATTTAAAATAATACAAAAAAGGGCATATTAGAGCAAGCGAGCAAAATTTCATGGGCTTGAAAAACTGTTAAGACTATGAATTTTACCCAGGACACCAGCTACAAGATATCTTCTATTCTTGTTAGTCTTGTTTACCAGTCATATCAAATTAAGGAACAATATTTATTAATTGTGCTGGTATACCTAATATTATTTAAGTTACACTATATAGATTCTCAAGAGGGTTAGAAAAAATTATCTTTCTGTTAGACTGATTAGCTAAATTTGCAAAGTGGTACTCTGCTTCCTGTTGTTGATGAGGAATACTGATACAGAGGAAGGTGATGTGATCAAGACAATCAGCCCGATAAATTTCCTGCTGATACTGAAATAGCCCATATGCACATGATATATATTACTGGCACACTCCACATAAACAGGCTAATTTAGGTTAAGGCCCAAAAATGGACAAGCAAGTTAAAACTATGAACCACACAATCAATGTTCTCATTTGCTTGGGGATATCTTTACAACATGTGAGTGGTAGCACCACTGTTTCCAAGCTCTTCGTAAGCAACTAAAGATGAGCAATTATCTGACCTACTGAGTTTTTCATTTCAGTCAGATTGGATGATGTTAAGCACGCGCATGTGCGCGCACACACACACTATCTCCATTAGAGAAAACAATCTTATTATTGCATCAATTCCCCATTGGGGAACAACAATTTTTAAATGTCTTCCCAGATTCCAATGAAAACAAAGGAACCTAATTCAGAATCAAGTTCTATAAGGAAGTTAAATAAGGTTAAAAAATTATAAAACATGGGCCGGCCCGTGGCTCACTCGGTAGAGTGCGGTGCTGATAACACCAAGGCCGTGGGTTCGGGTCCTATATAGGGATGGCCGGTTTGCTCACTGGCTGAGCGTGGTGCTGACAACACCAAGCCAAGGGTTGAGATCCCCTTACTGGTCATCTTTTTTTAAAAAAAAAATTATAAAACATTAGGCCACAGACTATCACCATATTATCAAAAGCCTGAGAAATCCATGTAACTAAAATTAAATGTAATTTTCAATAAAGACTTCCTTTCATTATATATGACAATGTTTATGAAATGTA